ATTCAACGATACTTATACGAAAAAAATGCCAAACAGTGATGAAAATATAATTGATTTAGAAGTAAATTTATCAACAGTAAAACTGAGAATAGAAAGCTATTTAAAGCAAAGCAGATGAATAAAAGATATTTGTTATGGATTGTAGAAATTTTGAGCAGTTGGAAAATTGATTTATGAAATTTATATTATTATTTACATGAAAGGAAAGAAACAATAATTTTTCATATTCTCTCTCAAAAATGCTTGATAAAAATCAAATTGTATTAAATTATATTTATTTAATTAAATTATTTTCAATAAACCACCAAGGCGAAGGAACGCTGTTTGGTGCAGTTATTATTATTAAATAATAAGACTCTACTTTATAAAATGCAAATAATAAAAAATCAGATGAAAAGTAAATGAAGATGAAAATAAAAATATTATGAACATATATCAATCAATATATGTATTACAACAAATACACCGTGTGAAAAAAACTTCATGTTGCAGTATTATTTGGAGAAAAATAAGAGCTACTTTTTCTCCGCAACGATTCAATTTCGACGTGTTTTAATTGATCTCAAAGTCTTACGAACACCGGACACCGCACGTGCTTTTTGATTTTTATTGGGTTGTCGGGTGGTATTTCGCCATCAGCACCAAAAAAGAACACACTCGGTTGCTTATCGGTAACCTTTTTCACCCAATTGTCGACAAAACTACTGCTTTTGATGTGTTTGTCCAAGGCGAGTCAAGTGTACTTGGCAGTCGAGTAAGCGCAGATTCCATGCTTCATCATCTTGACTCGTTGCTTTATGTAATTCAGCCACTGTGACCATTTTGGCGATGGCATCACTGGTTTTCTCTGTCTCGGCACTCCTCTTGAACGAAATCTTTGGTCCAACGCTTTGCTTTGGCATTTCGCACATTTTGACCTGTCTGCCAGTGGAACTGCTTGCTCGACATTACAAAGTTGATCTGAAAAAAAAATTAATAGTTATTGAATTTTGGCACTTGGATTATTGGATTATTGGAATAAACGGGAAGTTATTCACTCGATGCTCAAGTTTCGTAACTTATTGCATGACGACCCGTCTTGTGCTGTCACTCGATTGCTTGGAGAATACTTCCCACGGTATGGCCCACTTTATAGCAGCCATGTAACTAGCCTCCGTACAGGGCCAGTGACCAGGGCTTTCTTCTCAAGTCAATTGTCATGACAGTCACAAGAATTCCATTCATTCCTAGATGGCGTTGGGCTCTTCTTATTTCAATGGAGGAATGCACACATCGCTGGTTTACCGGTATATTCACCAGAGATGGCGCACTACCTTTTTACGGTTGTTGTATTTGCAATCTCTCACATATTCAATACAACAACCTGACGTGAAGGCACTCCATTTTACGTGTGTCTATGCTGAGCCCATATATCGTTATGCACACACACGGGACCGACGGCTTTAAGTGCCCTTCCGAAGTACTCCACTAGCCCGAAACCCGGCCAAATCTATTCCGCATTAAACCACTGACGATTCCTGAGCGAATCACGGTGGAAAAATACAGGACCAAATTTGACCGAGAATCGAACTCGTGTCCTCACGCTCACAAACCTGGCACGCTAACCACTAGTCTATGGCTGAGTTAGTCTAGAAAAGTCAAATTTCTTTTTTCCGCGCACGAATCGCCGAATTTTCCGCATGTAAAAATACTCATTCTACCAATAATAACGCGCCTGGTTGAAATCCTTTGGTGAAATATTTGTTATGCTTGTTTTTCCGTTTTTATTCTCGATTTCTACTTTCGGCAGCAATTTTTGCGAAGACAACACCTGGTGCATGCTTGACCAGTCGATTATGAAATGCTTTCGGCGAAAATCACACATCGGCACCACTGCTAAATTCCGGATGAATGGCCGAAAGTTTGGATCGTCGAACATTTGTTTGCGCTTGGGGCACCACTTACGTTTCTCCTTTGACTTTTTGCGCTTTCATTTCTTCTGTTTGGGTCGGTGCTGATGTGGCCACGTCGAATTGTACTCTTCTATCTCTCTTTGCATAGATAGGAACATTGGCATGGCCTTACCCAAATTTTTAATTCAGGTCGTTCACCATGTCATACAATACGCCACACCGTTCGAGTTTGTTTGGATCGTGAATTGGCACTTTGATGTCTTTTTGTTTGATAATCAGTTTCACAACACTTTCAATGTCAATTGGCAAAAATTTCTCTGCGTCCTCTTCTCCGTATGGGTTCAATTCGAAAACTTGCAGTTTCAAGTACTGGGTGATGTGTTTGTTAGGATGCGTTATTGAATTGGTGACGACGTTGTCTGTGTATTGATTGCTGAAATCTTTGTTGTTGGGCCAATCGATACGATGGTAGTCGTCAAGACCTTCAACAATTGCTTTGAATTCAGAATCGATACGTGGCAGCTCTGCTCGTGGTCCTCGTGGCTTTTTTCTTTGTGGTTTGTACCTCGACTTCGGTTTCGGTGGCTGATTGATATGCCATAGCACTTGGTTAAAGAAGAGTTGGATCTTTTTTTCTCCACTTCCACAAAAGAATGCGAAATCATTATTCTCAATGCCTATGTTCGTACTCCTTTTGCACCTCGAACAAGAGCGGCAATGAGCCCAAAACGCAAATTGAAGTGGCTTGCAAACTCAGGTCCGTTATTTAGCTCATCAATGCTTGCTGGAATTGTGAGCGAATGATTGTCTTCAGCGCACATTTGATCGTCGTAATCTGATCCTTCGTTTCACCCTTCGCTGGTATGGATGGCTTCAAACGATTCGCCATTTTCCTATTGAAAAAAATAAAATAAAGAGTCTTACAGGAGTAAGACGAACTTTTCCGCACGGTGGTTAGGCCGGATCGATTTTTGGAATCGGAAAAATTCAAAATGCGGCAGTGTGGTATCGATTTGACTTGTCGAAATGAAAACTTTTTGTTCTGGGACCTTTCTGAAAAATTTGACCCTGTCTACCGCGGAGAAATTTTCTAAAATACGATTTTTGAATAAATATTGACTTAAATCGTCCAAAAAATCGGGTTTAAATTGGCTGTAAACGCTCTTAACAGTTGTCTTCTGTCATTATCGGTATAATTGAGAGAAATTAAAGTAACTTTTAAACTCATTTCGAGGCTCGACCCATGCCGGATCTAAATTTAATGGGAAAATTAAGGCAAAATTGGTCATTCATTCCGCATGGTGGTAGATGCGTATTTTATTTTATTTTTTTTATTCGGCATCGAAATATTCTTTAATTTAATAGCAGATGTACTTGCAAAAGATTTTTCACACTATCATGATGAACTCATTTGTATGACATTTAAAAGTATTCTATTTTCTAACAAAGCGCTATAAAAATATGTCTGACGTTAATTTTGCCATAAAAATTATTTTTGAAACACTTTTCATAACTAAAGTCACAAAAAATTTAGATTTTTGTATGGGAGCCATGTCTGTATGCTACCTTAATGGCGTGAAACTTTGTACAGGTTATTTTTTTCACAAAATAATAACATTCGGAGGGTTTGGAGAAATTTCAACCAAAATTAAGAGTACCTCCCATACAATTTTGACATGAAAATTTTGTATGTGAGGTACCCCTAATTTTGATTGAAATGTCTTCAAACTTTCAGAATTTTATTTTTTGTGTAAAAAATAGTCTGTGCAAATTTTCACGTCATTAAGGCAGCATACAGGCATGGCTCCCATACAAAAATTCAATTTTTTGTGATTTTTTCAAGGAAACTGTGACAAAAATTGATTGTATCTCAAAACTAACCTCGGATTCGGTTTTCTCATGCCAAAAAAACCCCCAATACATATTTTTGAGTGTTTAAGTCTATGACTTTTGGACGAAAATTGGACTCTTTTTCATAGGTATCACTCCGATTACCGCACAATTACCCGAAAATACATTTTCCCGAACGAATTTTTTCCCGAAAATACAATTTCCCGAAAGTTGATTTCCCGAATTTTTTTTCCCAAATTTTTTCCCCTACATTTTTTCCCGGATAGTGACTTTTTTTCGCATATGTTCCTAATTTTTTTTCTGATTTTTTTCCGGAATAGTATATTTATCTCGAATAGTATAAAACACTTTTTCGATGTGCAGTTCTTTCTCTTTCTCGCGCGCGCTCGTTCGGTCTTGTATTCCATTCTAAGCACTCTCTCCCATTTTTATTTCAATTAAATTTGATTTAGGATTCGGAAAAAAGTTCACTCTTCTTCAGACTAAAACTTCATCAGACTTAGTTCATGAGAAATCTTAACAACAGTAAAAGAACTTTAAAAAAATTGAGCAATTTGTTAAAGAATTGTCAAAATGTCTTCCGGAAAAATATTCGGGAAAAAGTTTTTTCAGGAATTTTTTTTCGGGAAATTGTCTTTCGGGAAAATATCCTTTTCGGGAAAAAGGCCTATTTTGCAATTTCGGGAAATATGTTTCGGGAACCTTTTTTGGTACACACACAAAATGATTCAACACACAAAAATGACAAAAATCTTCGGATTTGCAAAATAATTGTGAATTCGATACAAAACGGACGTATATTGAAAATAATATGAATTATCAGCAAAATCGTAGAATAATTGAAACATTAAATTGGAATTTACACTGCTGTAGTTTATATCGTAATAAAATGTAAGATTGATTTGTTGACTTGGTATTTACAACGCCAAACGTGTTCTCGGTATGGATGAAGCGGCGTTTATGACATTTCAAAAACCAATGAAATGAACGTCAAATGTCATAAGGCTCGTTTCACATCAATAATACAAATTCAATATTTAGACATTAGACAATTTTTGCTTTAAAGAGTTTTTTGCTTCGGAAAGTGTCAATATCAATTGATGCTTAACATTAATGCTACGATTTGAAACATAATTTTATGCTTTTTAAATTGAAACAGACCAATTTTTTAATTAAAGATATGGGAAACACCCTATTATACATATAAAAACCACAGAAATCAAATTATCATCTTTATGAAAAATAAAAAAGAAAATATTTTATTGTATAAATGCCTGAAGTAGTAAATCATGGCTGTTTGTTTTCGTTCGTTTATTTTTGTTACTTTGTTTAATTTAAAAAAAGTGTCTTTTCTAAAACTTGAGAAACTTCTAGATAATTTCAAACAATAGAAAAAAATACCAAAACTTTTGGTTTGTTTCCCGAATTCGTGAAGAAATTGTATGATCTAATGAACAATTTTATTTGCACATCGCTCCAAATAATTAATAAAATAAAAAAAGGATGATAGAAAAGATTTTTGGCGAGTTCCCTTTGTGAGTCCAAAATCGATGGAAAAGTGCCAACGGATTTTCCATATGAACGAAGTATAGGCTTGATATGTGCACAGGATGCTCTCAATGTGTATCATCATTTAAATGTAAAAAATCAAGCAAGTTGCACATTTATACCAATTTTGGGCACATTGATTTTGATCTATTGTATTTTTCTTCAAGTCTATCAGATCTTTCATTCCAAAAATATGATTTTAGTTGGCTGGTACTTCTCGCTGAGAATTAATCGAATTGTTTGCCTCACCAGGTTCAGTACATTTCCATAGACCTGTAATAAAATGTTTTTGTTATCATGGTGATTACTAAAAATGTGGATTGCATAAGAACTTACCATATGTTTTTCCCACCGTTGTTTGCCATAAACGTAATGTGCCATCTTCTGATCCGCTAGCATACAATTCTCCATCTGGACTGAAGCTCACTGCATGCACTGGCCCAAAATGACCTTTGAATGATTCTGTGAAAAGAAAATGACAATAATAACAGTCAATAATTTCAATAAAAAAATATTCCTTCATACCAATTTCATTGCCGGTAATGTAATCGTATTTGTACATTTTGAAATCTTCACCAGCGCAAACAAATATATGTTTATCAGGATGTAAACTAGCCGTATTCACTGACGTCGGTACAGTAATCTCCTTGAGTTTTTTCAATGTATCAGTCCTTTATTGGGGTTGAATCAAAAGAGAAAAATGGAAATAATAGAATTTAATCAACATTTAATGGGGCCATTACTACCCAGGGTCGAAGTATCCTATTGACTTCAAACTTCACAGAATTTTAGTCATTAATTATTGAAAATTTGTGACGCAATTTTTGAATTTTTTGACTCACCACGAAACGAATTACAGGCCTATTTTTACTGTCTACTAAGTCACATAAATAACTATTTAACGATTTACCAATTAGGAGAACTGATTACACAAAATATGAACCAATAAATTATATGCTTACATCATTCAACGATTTTTATACCAAAAAAATGACAAACAGCGAAACAAATTTAATTGATTTAGAAGTAAATTTATCAACAGTCAAACTGAGAATAGAAAACTATTTAAAGCAAAGCAGATAAATACAAGATATTTATTATGGATTGTAGAAATTTTGAGCAAATTTTCAGGATCTAGCTGAATTCACTTCAAAGGTACTATTTAATATTGGAAACTACTATCAATATTTGAACATCGACAAAGCTTTTGATTCAGATTACTAATACAAAAGTTAGACATCATGGGTTTAAACAAACAATTTTTTAAATGAATCCAATCGTATTTGTCTGGACGAAGACAAATAGTCAAGATAAATGATTCAAAATTTAAGCTAATAGAAGCTACTTCATGAACGAGCCAAGGTTACCCCACTCGAGCGACATTGTTCATCATGTTTTTTATCGATTTGCCGTTTTTTGTCAAAAAACATGGAGTTTATCATTTGCGGATGATATACAACTGTCGAAGTGTCATATTTTAAAAATATTTTATAATTATTTTTAATTGAAAATTTGTTGTGGGTTTTTTTTGGTACGAGGAATCCGAATCTGAACTTTACTAATGGAAATATTAATTGAATATTATTTGTTTATACTTTGAACAATCAAATAAACTTAACATTTCAAAAATTCAATAATAGAAATCTACCAATCCAAACTAGAATACTAATGATTAATTTTTGATTACCAAATATGCTAAGTGATACCTATGAATCTAATGTGAATTATATATTGCTATGAATTCTTACTGTGACTGTACTACCAATGTTTGTCAAATACATAAGTGAACTTCAATAGTTGGAATTGAGAAACCACAAAAATCACAAAATTCAAATTTCACACTTCCCAAAGTTCATTCTCATTTGTATATTGGGTGTATTGATTAATTTTTACCGTTTTTTGGATGAAAATGTAAGTTTATTTTAAAGAAAGCGTACAATATTTTTTAACCGATGTATTGCCCATCTTTAGCTTTGACTTCCGCCCATCTTCTTGGTAGCTTGTCGATTCCGCGTCGAAAGAATTCCTCATCTTTTGAGTCTATCCATTCATCGATCCATTTTCGCACTCCTTCAGGATTTCGAAAGGATATCTCGGACAGGCCCATTTGCATCGATCGAAACAAGTGATAATCAGAAGGAGCAAGGTCTGGAGAGTACGCAGGTTGATTAAGCCGATCCCAACCGAAGTCTTTTACCTTTTGTTTAACGATATTCGCTTGGCATTGTCATCGTGAAACATAACTTTGATTTGTTTGCTCGCTATCAGAGACCGTTTAATCTTCAATGCATGCTCCATTTTGATTAATTGCATGTGGTAGCGTTGGGCTGTAACCGTTTCACCTGGTTTTAGCAGCTCATAATACATGACACCTTTTTGATTCCACCAAATGCACAGCATGACCTTCTGGCAATGAATATCTCGTTTTGACTGCGATGGTCCTGGTTGGCCTGGATCGACATACGCTGCTTTACGTTTGGGGTTGTCGTAATAGACCAACTTTTCATCGCCTGTGACAATTCGACTCAAAAAACTATGTTTTTTGTGCCCGGCAAGATTTTTTTTGCATGCTTCGATTCGTGCTTTGAGTTGATTTTCGTTCAGTTGATGTGGGACCCATTTTCCTAGCTTTCGAATCTTTCCCATTGCGTGTAAACGTTCACAAATGGTTGATTGAGAGACATTTAATTCCAATGCAAGTTGTTTTTGCGTTTGACATGGATTTTCATTGAGTAATGCTTCCAAATCCGTATCTTCGAACTTTTTTGGCTGACCTGGCCGTTCTTTGTCTTCCAAATCAAAATCACCACTTTTGAATCGTTGAAACCATTTTCTGCAGCTTGAATCTATTGGAGCTTGTTTACCATAAGTATCCGAAAGCATTCGTTGCGCTTCAGCCGCAGTTGTCTTCGTATCAAATAAGAAAAGGAGAGCACTTCGGAAAAACATTTTATCGCGATCCATTTTGAATTGATAAAAAATAATGACACTGTGTCGAAAATAAATCTTTCTGCTCTGAATTAGATTGGCAAATGTCACATGTACAAAATGCAATTGGATTCACCTGTCAAACTTCATACAAGTTTAAGTGGCGACATCTAACAGTCAGCGGTAAAAATTAATCGATACACCCAATACTTTTGTGAAATAATTGTTTAAGAATATATGCTAAGGGTGGGTGAAGATTGATACACTTTTTTTCAATTGGGAATATTTTAGCCAAATAAAAAGATATTGGAAAACTTTGAATACCATTTGAAAGAGGATTGAAAAACCCAAACTTTCGACATCATTAGATTTTTTTATTGTTGCTGTGGCTTACGCCACGAGCCAAAAATTTGAAGTGATAGATTTGGGGGCACAGTGAAACAGTGAGAGTGATACAGGCTGGAAGCAGAGTGATACACCTCGATTTTTTAACTTTTTACGTGATTTTATTTCTTATTTTTTTTATTTTTGCGTATGGTATTTGAGAGTCATGTTTGTTTTTGGTCATTAAATGTTATTTTGATCCTTTTTGGATTCGATTTTAACTTATTTTTTTTAAAAAATGATAAGAGTTTAAGACATATTATTCCTCGATTTTTGTTTAAAAATCTACCAAATTAAAAAAAAAAATATTGCCAAAAATCTCATCAACTACTAAGAAAATTCATAAAATACGAAAAAAAGCCAAACGAAATATATTAGAAATGATAAAAATTGCAAACATTGCGAAATAGCGCTGTATCAATTTGCCCCCAACAAAGTGTATCACTCTGCCCCAAGCATTTTTTTTTTTTTCACTTTCTATCGATTTTTTTCAGCAACGTGTGGATAAAATCCAAAACACTTATTATTTAATTTTATATTATACCATAATTAAAATAATTTTTTTTTGAAAATAAAATGCAAATGATCGTGCTTATGAATTTTGAATCCGTTATATTCCGTAAATTCTGTGATTTCTGTAATTTTTGATATCACGTATCAAAATAATAATAATAATAATATGCCAGATTATCAATGTTTTGAACAAAAAATTAAATATTTTCCAAAAATGATTTTTTCTTGAAAATTCGAAAAGCCTTTTCATAAAAAGAGCCGGAATTACAAAAATGCTTTGACACCGATCTAGTGATAAAGTGTTTAACACAAATCTTACTTTTTCGATTTTCACACTAAAAGTGAAGTTTATGTTTCATTGAAATTCGGCTTTTAGTAGAAAAATCGAAAAATTGGAATTTCTGTCACTCATGATGTCTGTCAAATTAGACGTTAAAGCATTAGTCTTTTCGAATCTACATGTTCGCTTTGCCACATTTCATTGGACTTCGAGTACTTTGAGCCCCTGGGTAGTGTGAGCCATTGAATGGAACAAAATGAAAAAAATCTAAAGAATGGATTGCAATTCTTCCATAACGGAAAAATTTATGAAACTTACTCCCAGAAACTGACACTTGTGCCATGTGTCACTGTCAAAATATTGTAGTCGGCTGACAATTCAATGCTATTTGGATGTGCATTAAACTCAATACGTTGCACCTCATGACCTATCGACCGATCCCATAAGCGAAGCGTTTTATCTTCGGCACCACTGATTATGTATTTATCATTTCGACAGAAAATTGCCCGCTTAAGTGGGCCACCATGACCAGAAAAAATTTGTGGTTCACAATTCGGTTGACTCAAATCGTATACGCGAATCAATTTTTCATTGCTTCCGGTTATCAAACGATCGCTATTTTCGTCAAAGCTTACTGTTTTCACAATATGCTTATGTTTAAAACTGTGTAATTCTTCCCCATTACTCGCATTCCATACTTTACCTGAACACCATGAATTCAACAAAAAAAGAAACAAATTTGTCATCAAATTATTTTATATCCTGATTCTCACCCAAATCAATTATACAAAAAAACATACCAGAAAAATCGGCAGCACCAGATGCAGCCAATGTTGCATTTTTGTTGAGCGCGACACCCCACACAGCACCTTTGTGACCTTCAAATGTTCCAACCTACGGTGAATCAGAAATGGAAAATGGAATTAATGGAAATAAATAAACATTTAATAGAACATAACAGAAATAATGGAAAAATACTCGAAAGAATGGATAGCATTTCTTCAGTAATGGAATAGTAATTTTTGGTACCAACCCAGTCTCCAGTATCACCTTGCCGCAACATCGGATTACCATCTGAAAATATTTATCAAATAAATACGATTATTCATTGACTCTCATCATTGTACACTTTTTATTTTACATTATATCAAATGATACGCATGGTTTTGTATTTTTTCTCCCGGAAATACAAAACTGCCGCATTCTCTTACGATGGATAATACAAAAAAGTAGTGAATTATAAATAAAAATGATCTCTAAAGCGTGTTGATTCGTATGCATACTTAAATGTGTTGTTTACGGAATCAAATAGACAAAAGAACAATAATCACTGCGATAGAGAAGCGTTTCACTTCCATGAGGAACTATGTACACTGTACAGAAAGTTCAATAGCATTCGACATGTGACTTGATGAATATTAAACAGATATGTTTAGATCCATATGTGACAAGTCAAGATCGAAAGAAAACCCGAATCAATTGTTTCAAATCATGCACATAAAAATTGGTAAAGATTTTTTTCGTTGTTCCCAGTGTCTGCCGGAATAGAAAGTGTTCAGTTCTGATGTGCGTTAAAATTGAGATATGTAGGATAAAGACCGAGGATAAATGAATATTTTACGCGCTATTTACACAATTCATATTTACGAGCAATCGCTATGAAGTATTTAGGCGGAAGAAACCTTGGCTCATATTACCTATTTCTTTCTCGCGTAATATTCAAAACATAAGCGTGTCTTTGTTTTATTCTCTCGGCCGCACGCACACACTTACTCGTTTGTATTTTCCCCCTACTATCAATTTGTTCTTTATTTATTTATTTTTATTTGGTTTTGTTTTGTGAGGCTTGACTCGGTAAATTTATTGAATGTGTACGATCGCGCAATTAATCAAGGCCACATTGTAAACGCTAACGTTGTGCGTCCGTGTATGCAATCGCCACGTTTTGTACTTATAATGATTGAACGCGCAATAAAATATTGTTGCTTTGTAGCAAATCCGACACATGAATTTCAAATGAAAACCATTTTGTTTTGGGCTTATTTCCCGATTGATAGGAATGGATTCACTCATTACAAATCTATTATTTATGAAACTTTTTGTATCTAGTCCGAAATTTTCCGAAAACCATTGAGCTCAACAGATTCACCTTAATCGTTTTATTTGTGTTTCATTTTCATTTAAATGTACTGCAATCAAAGATAAAAGAATTGTCAAGTCTTGTTGCAGTACGATGTAGTATGATTTTTTGGCTGGTTATCTTTTTAATCAAATGTATACTTTGATGTTTCTTTTTGTAAAATCAAAAGTCCACAGCAAAAAAGTCAAGTGAATATCATGGACTGTTGTAAGAAATGATTGAATCAAATGTTTTATGAAAAACGGTATGCTTTAAAAACTCACTGATCAAGCATTTGAGAAATTTGTTGAAGAATTTGCAACTTATTCAGTATTCGAACAATGTATGACTTGGTTTCTGTATGCCATAAATGACCATTTAATGAGGCCTTTGAATTAACCCAACATCAAAAATATATTATATAATTTAAAAACGCGTTCATCCATTATTCATAAAAATCGTTTAATAAGAATGAAACAGAGAATCGGTGTTTTGTTGTTTCTTTTTCTGCTTTTGCGGTTAAAATTTATTTATATTGCGTTCGACGCATATATAAAATCACAAAAGAGCAAAAGAGATAGAGAGAAGCAAAGAAGAAACACACACACACACATTTGACAATATTAAATGTCTGTTGAGTGTAATCAAGGTCACAAATAATTTTGTGATCTAGATTTCGCATGAATAAACTAAGAAAATTCTGAATTCATTTTTTCGGGAGTCTTTTTCGTTTTTTTTTTATTACACACAAGTTTCTTCTGATGTTTATAATGATGAAGAAGCTGTTATTGTTGTTGCTGTAGGTTTTTTGCTTTTATATTTGTTGAAACATGTGATTCGATTTCATGTCTCTTTTCCCATCAAGGATAACAAGATATAGTCACCACTTAAACGTAATCACGATCAGTATTTTATCGACAATAAATTTATGCTCTTGTTCTCTATGTCGTGCGAAATACTTCCAAAAAAAGAAATTCAAAATTGAGTACGGGCTAAGCACATGACCTATAGTGTTTTTGTTTATACTAGTTTTGGTTTCTGGGCGTAAAAAAACAATAACTGCAGTTTTCTTATTTACACACATGATTGTTGTTTTTAATGCAATTTGAAACATCAAGAAATAATTTCAAGGTGAAATATGATTAAGATCGTAAAAACGATGAAAATGTGCAAAGTCACGTGTTTTTGATTTTTTAAAAATCATTTTGAAGTCTTACTTTCTTGAAAACTATCGCAAAATAGCTCAATCACTTTGATTAAATCGATTTTATCCAAAAAATAATGAGCATTCAATAAAAGAATTGTTGCTTCTATATATATATATCATTGCATTCAATTTTCGCTCAAGTTTGTACTTCCTCAAACATTCACCAGCACAAGTATTTGATGCAGAGAATCGCAATACGACGATGACAACATCTAGGATAATTGAAGAAAAAAAAGAACAGATATTGATGTATTTCTCCCAAAATTTCTCATGAATAACGTTATAGCTATTTCCTCAAATTGGATATCAATTATTTGATTTCACTTCTAGAATTTTGTTCACTTTTGATTTTTTTAGTATTGAGATTCTTTTTGAAAACTATTTTGCGGAATTACATAGAGAAATAGTGCAAAAATACGCTGCATAGTTTTGAATATTGATTGAAGTAAGTCCGCAAAGTGGTTCCACAATCGATTTTCTGCCAACACAAATTTTGAGATTATTTGAGGCATTGCAATGGCTTGTGAAAGTTTTTACACTTCTGGTCGATAATATAAATTGAAATTTTCGCAGATTTTCACTGCAGTTTGTCTATACATAATATAAGTTTTTGAGTGAGTAGAACCAAAATTTCAAAGTATATCATTATAATTTCATTTCGTTTGTTTGAAATACGATGATCTGCCGCTCATTATGATAATATAACGAATGTGATGACTCATGAGATAATGTAATATTTACTAATCCTAGTTAATATTGAGTGCGATTAAGTTCTTTAAAAATATTCGAAATTTTTACTTAGGTCGAACGGTATTTGAATATTTTGATTGAGAATTGACGAAAGAATCATTACGATGACAATCCAGAGTGTTAAAATAGCCGACTAAAAGAGAAAAGCGTTCATTTTATTATTTTTGGGTCAAGGAAGCAATTTTGTATACGCTGTATGAATAAGCACCTATGTATACTGTCGATACAACGAAAATTAAGAATGCTCGTACATTTAAAACAGAGCAGCTATAATGATACACAGTATATTGCGATAGTCTAGGATGCATGCGCATGGCTATTCGATTCTCTATCTGGCTCGCAATTTTAATTGTGATCAATGTTCACGAGGTGCAAACCAATCAAAATGAAAGAGTTATATTCAAGAAGAACGCTGTTATTATTAATGTTATTGTTATTACACTTACCTTTACAAGCCGATATTAAGAAGTATCCACATTCGGTAATATCACGATTGAAATCCAAATGCACAACGGGCCGTGTGTGACCGCTGCAAGTCAACGGAATTTGTCGTAGATTGGACATATTTATGTATTTATCGTTCAGTTCGATTTGTTAACTGCGTTTTTATTATTCTCTCTCAGCGAAAAAGTTTCTTGGTGGCTTTGTACTTTCTGCTTAATTGTATTATAAATACGCTCTGCTTGTTTATTATATGGTTCTCTATAGTTGTTTTGTATTGCGCGATTGTACAAATACGTTTCCGAATCGATGTCTGTTCGAGTTGAGAATATATGAAAATCCAGAAAGGTGTCAAATAATAATCAAATTTTACCAACAACAAAGCAATGTAGTGTTTTCTTCTTTCCTTTTAAACTATCAATCGATTGATTTAGTTGTTGTAGCCGTGTTTATGTTGATTTAGTCAAAATGTTTCAATTTATGTTTTTTTTTTTATTAGAACTTTCGATCAATTTTCTTGTTTCGTTTGAAATTTTAATTCAATTAACCACTATCTGAACTGACAGTCATAATCATAAGAGATCAGTTATTTATTTTCTTTTCTTTTTGAAATTACCACATAAGCAACACAACCGAATTTATTTTATTATAAATGCCAGATACTTAACTACTTATTATTTTTTTTTGTAAAATTATAATTTTAAAACATTTGTTCTGAGTTATCTGTTTTGTTTGTTAAATTTCTGTTTGGAAAATTTTGTCAAAACAAAAATTAAATTATCAAAAAAGAATAGAAAGAGAGAGAGGGGTCGTGTAAAGTGTACGAGATGAATGGTTCAGAAACTAAAGCTAAACTGACAGTGAAATCATTTGTTGTGTTTGATTTGACATCGAACCGCATGATACACAAGCTCATTTAGTCAATTTTCTAGTAGAGTTCTTATGAGTATGTTTTGTCAATGAGTTTGAGGTTTTTATATGGTATTCTAGAAAAAAAACAACCTTAATATTATGATTTGGGGTTGTCTGATGAAACAACCTAAATTCGTTCATGGAATTGCAAATAAATTTCAAATACAAAATGAATTTTTTTGAATGCATATCAGCGAACATGAATTTTGAAAATATTTTTTTTTGTGGATATTTTCTCGAAATATTCGTATAATTGATGGTTGATGTGGTTGCACGAAACTCGAACTATTCCAACTTTCAGCCAACTTCATGGCAGTTAAATGGCTTTCTACAAGTACACATTATTGAATTGAATTTGTGTGACGTTTTCACATTTCTTAACCAAAAGAATTTTTTTCATTTGGATTATTATTCCCAAAATAAGGTAATTTAAGTTGTTCTTTTTTTTAAAATATATTTTAATGAAAAACCAAAGTCACTCGCATAGAAAAATGATTTTCAAATGAGATCTATGTATAAAAGCTATTTTTTGTAGTTTGTCGCATATTTCCATGCTTGTTTGTTGCAAATGAATAATAGCCGTGTGCCATACAATCTGTCAAGACGAAGTTGCATACAGATTTATTTTTGCAATTAAAAAGCCTAAAAGCTTTGATATTCTAATCGTAATCATTAAATTTTGATATCATTGTCTTCAGAGAATGCCAGCAATTGAAGACATTAAATATTCATGGGCCGATGAAGTGGAGTTGGATTCAGGCAATCTTCCACCGCCAACAGAAAGCAATGAAAATGGCTTGAAGGTGCAAACTGAATACAAGAGAAATAATGACGATAAAAAGGTCAAAGTGGTACGTAATTAATTCTTATTGATTCTTTTTCGATTATTTTCGATTATTTGTCGATTATTTTAAATTAATTGTATTCTTTTCTTTTGTGATTCTCCCCTTAGGTACGTACGTATAAAATATTGAAGCAATTCGTTCCAAAATCTGTGGCCAGACGAAAGGCATTGCCAAAATTTGGCGACTCAAAAGAGGATAAGCCAGGTCCAAGCCCACAAACAACAATGGTATCAGAAGATGTGAATATGCAATTCATCACGAACAAGGAAGAAGAAAAATCAAATGACGCTACCATCGATCCATCTAAGAACTTCGCCAAATGTCGTATTTGTAATGGTGACCATTGGTCAGTTAATTGCCCATACAAAGGTACATCAATGGAAACCGGTAAATTGGCCGATGTGAAACCAACAACATCCACCGATACTGGTGCTAAGCCAGGCAAATATGTGCCACCATACATGAAAGATAGCGCCAAAGCCGGTTTGGCTGGTGCACGTCGTGATGATTCAACAAATATTCGCATTTCAAATCTGTCCGAATCGATGGTTGAAGCCGACCTCGAAGAACTGGTCAAGAAAATAGGACCATATCAAAAGATTTATTTGGCACGTGATCGCATCACTGGACTCTGCAAAGGATTCGCCTATGTCACATTCAAACAACGCAAAGATGCTGCTAAAGCTATTCAACTATTGAACGGACATGGTTATGATCATTTAATCCTCAATGTTGAATGGTCCAAACCACAAACACAAAATTAAGTTTTATTTCTTTTTATGAGGTTAAGGTTATTTGTATCTGTACTTCTATTACAAAATAAAACTTTTTGGCAACAACATTTATTAATACTATATTATTTCATCACCAATGACCTCTCATTTTCATAACAAATAAAAGATATGTATTTTGAAAAATTGCAAATTCGATAAAAATAAATAGTGCGTGCAAAAAAACAGAGCCATAAATAAAATATATGGAGTCAAAAATCACCACATTTTTGTTACATTTACTTCAACAAATTTCCAAAGATATTCGGCTTTTCAATAAAATATTGTGTCTTTGACCACTCAGGTCAGCTTAGAAAAACGGCGACAGAATTAACGTTGAAATGTATCATGGTGTTGCTCTACAAGATATTGGGGAGCTACACAGTCAGGCAAATTGATAATTCAAATAACTGATAAAAACGAAAAAATCACGAAAAACGTGTTTTTTGTATGGGACATTTTTTAAAGCGAGATTTTTTTGGGGAATTTTTTTTACAGGGACTTAGTGCTAAATTTGTGCTCCCAAAAAATATAACTTTTGTACAGTTTGGTCCCATAAGTTCGGAACACAAATGGCTACAACACGAAAAAATCACAGAAAGTGATATTTTTGTATGGGATTTTTTTTAAATGGACTATTTTTGGAAAATTTTTATGCTGTTTATAATCTTAAAAATATCAATTTCTTCGAATTTTGATGAAATTGTTCGAATCTTGATTCGAATTATTTAAAAAAAATTTACTATTCTGAGTACATTTTTGTACAACTCATTGGGTCGGACACATAAACCCTTATAAAAGTGTTATCAAAAATCGAATGATTTTTTTGGGTTTCGGGATTCCTTGGATCAATTTTAACTGTTTGAAAAAGTGAGGTAGGTTTTCATGGTGAATCCAAATATGTGAGTAAATGGTGACACACGATTCATATGATTCATTGTTATTTGGATTTATTTGAGTTGATTTGAATTTGTTTGACAACTTATTACTAAATTAAAAAGTCAAAACATCAAACTCCACTTCGATACCTATTTTTTATAAAAGGATATTGCATTTAAAAAACCTAATTAGACAATAATAAATCTCATTGCATTTTTCAATTTTTTATATTTTTGCATACGATATTCATGCAAACATTTACAGTCAACTTCACTGCAAAGTTTCACACAAAATGTCACGTGGTGATTTGAAATGATTCAATGTTATTCAAAATTATTTGAAATGATTGCAATTGATTTTAAATATTTCCAATATACTAATTTACTCTCAAAGAGATTTTTTCAATGTGCAAAAATAGAACTATTTTGCTTGAAGATTTAATATTTTCGTGATGATTCGTTCTATTTGATGTCTCCCCCTAGGATAAGCCTTGAAGTATTTCGACTAGTTTTAAATCCATCCCACGTAGATGGCACAAACACTCCCAAACAAAAACCTTCCATATGAATGGGTAAGAATAATCATGAGCTCCAAACATTATTTAAAAA